TGTCTCAGACCATGAAATGTTGAACATAATATTTACATGTATATTTTGAAGTCATGGGATGGGACATATTTGTTATCGCAGCATCCACATTTTGTATTAATAAAGATTTTCTACAATGTTTTTGTGGGGTTATTTGTTGCACATGCCCATGTTCACTAAATCAGTGAAGGCAAATACATGGCATCAACCAGCTGCTGAGAATGAATGTTACCGTATTCGACGTAATAAGCGCCCTGCTCTAATAAGCGCCCACGGCGATATTTGCTAATATATTGGCTAGTGAACAATACCAATTAGCACCCCTTCCGATTGATCAATGTACACAACACTTATTTATTCGCGTATAATACGTACTATGTTATATGCACCCTTAATTATGGGCATTTAAATTCTGGAAAAATGTATCTCTCGTATATAAACATTTCAGGCTGTCAGCATAAACCACGAAATTTATCATTCAACTCTGTCTTTTTCACCAAAATAATATTCTTTCTTTTTTCCAACATTTTTATTGTTCCCAGAGTTGTAGAATAATACCGTATTCCTTCAAAGACATATTTCGGATTGCATAGAATGGCACAATACACTCTTTATAAAATTAAAGGGTTGGAAACAAACAATGTCCTATTTCAAACAGAAAACGGCTGCAACACACAATCAGACTCAAACATATCATGTATCAACAGAGAGCTATGAATCAAATGTTGAGAATAAAGGTGACCATTTTCTGTTAAAGTTACTTTTGTCATCCTTTTTTATAGCACCAAAATAATATTCTAATAAGAGCCCCCTATTTCTAATTTTGAGAGCGCCCTGGCCGCTTATTACGTCGAATACGGTATCCCTTTTGGGGACAGGGCCAATTTAGGAACTTGAATTTACTTGCACAGAATGCATGTAGACATGTAAACCCCATGCAGTAGCGTCAAACAAAACCAGGCTGCACCTTGGTCCCAGAATTATCAACAGATCTATCATTAGATCTACCAAATATTTGACAATCTAAACATGTCTGGTCGACTGGCACATGTAGTGAAAAAACCCATCACCACTCGCTGAGGAGCTTGGTTTTGTCATGGTCAAAGGGAGACAATTCAGCTCATTTTTTTTTCCAATTGGTAAAATTTGTGGTCAAAGGGAAGTAATTCAGCTTAGTAGACTGTGCTCCTGTTTGTCTAAAAGCGCTAAACTTGCAGCGCGTACCAACAGTGGAACCAGTTTACTTCAAACGGAGTTACGTCCCTTGTACAAGCTCCCTTCAGGGTTGAGATGTAAACTTCAGACACTGCGTTGTAACTAATCAAAGGGGAGTAACTGTGAAAATAATCTGCGCATGTCCAAACTAAATTATGACGTCATTAGACCTTCAAGCTCCTTCCCAGCGCGTGACACCTTCGTTACACTCTCCGGGAACGTACTATCGCTGTGAGGAGCTTGTTAGACCTTTAGCAAGGGAGATAACCATACATGTCTAAGCTCTTCGTCAGTGCGTGTATGGAGCTCATATACAAGGGACTTTACCCTTACTTATTATTAACATATCATAACACGATTATTTCCCTTAGACCATTAACATTGACGGCGCTACACGGCTTGCCGCCTTCACAACACACCGCACTGGCGGTAATCTTTCAACGACGTTTATATATCTTGATTCATTGTTCGTTATTCATGTACATCTATATTGCGATCGCACACGACATTTTATGTAACAGAACAGACCTACCCGAAATATCCTATTGTCCTCGCCACTTGAAATAGAATCACGAAATATTTGCATGTGTGCTGATACGTATTTCCCGTTTTTATAATGAAAACAAGCCATTCCGCCGACAACGAATATTACTTACAGTGATGAAAAAAATGCAAAGAGCCCTTTTCAAGAAAGAAATCCGGTTTCATATATAGCGATAAACATCATCATTGAGTTTTGATCACATGGTTGCAATCCCGGTAATAATCAACAGCAAGGTGACTGCGATCGATTATATTTACCTGACCAGGGTCAATAGCTCTTTAAATACTACATCTGCACAAACATTTCTTTCAGTCCGTGCTGGTAATGTACGTACGCTGCTAAACATAGTCCTCATTCGGGTTTTATGCACATGTCGATAAAAAAGAAACCTTCAGCCTAAAGTCATATTGTATTTAAAAACACATTCTTGCCTTAGACCCATTCTTACTCATAATACAATACACAGGTTCGAATCAATTCTAAAATCACTTCAATTTTACACATATGAATCCTCTGATATACAGACCCCGGAAAAATGGAACCGGAAACTGTATTGTAGAACAACGAACGACTGAAAAACCTGCACAGATTTAGAACTGGATAGTTCTTAAAATGTTTTTTTATTCATTAAATTAGGATGACAGATGGACCTGATTGAAATTTTACAACAAAGAAATGCACATTATGTTTTCCTTGGTGAAGCATGTTTCATATTTTAAACGCATTCGTATAACAAATTACAACACTATTTACATGGATATAACATCAAATGTTTGTTTTCAATTTTCACAGCTGACCGAAAACAGGATAAATATACAGTCAACGTGGTAGAAAATACACCTCTCATATGACACACAGATCCCAGAACTAGTTAATACTGTAAGCATGGATTAAACTGAGGATTCTACAAAAAATGAATCAGAATGTCTCTAATCTTCTTGAAATAAGACAGCCGATCGAAGCACCACTGGTTTTATTTTAAATAATGTATGTATTTGGCTACTTTCGTATGTATGTATGTATGTATGTATGTATGTATGTATGTGTGTGTGTGTGCGTGCGTGCGTGCGTGCGTGCGTGCGTGCGTACGTATGAGTGTGTGCGTGTACGTATGAATGTGCGTGCGTGCGTGCGTACGTATGAGTGTGTGCTTGCGTGCGTATGAATGTGTGTGCGTGCGTGCGTGCGTATGAGTGTGTGTGCGTGAGTGCGTGCGTATGAGTGTGTGTGCGTGCGTGCGTACGTATGAGTGTGTGTGCGTGCGTGTGTGCGTATGAGTGTGTGCGTGCGTGCGTACGTATGAGTGTGCGTGCGTGCGTGCGTGCGTATGAGTGTGTGTGCGTGCGTGCGTATGAGTGTGTGTGCGTGAGTGCGTGCGTATGAGTGTGTGTGCGTGCGTGCGTGCGTACGTATGAGTGTGTGTGCGTGCGTGTGTGCGTACGTACGGACGGATGTATGGGGGTATAAAATGACAAAATATACGTCCCAGATGGAATAACTGCAAATGCTACCAAATTGGCTCATTGCAAGTGAACCAGGTGTATATTGTTGATGTCGGGAAACCTGAACAGGCTGGGTTGGTGGGAGTCAAACCATTTGTGGTATAAAGTAACTTTAACTCTCTTATCGCTGAGAGAATCACCAAAGGTAGTACTCAGGAGGCTTTCAAATGTGGTGGTCACTTATGTCTACTTTTACGACCAGGTTGCATCCACTCAAACCGTCGCAATTAACAGAGAGGCCAATCTGTGTGATTGCCATTGTCGCAGGTTTTCATGCCATGTACTTTCTCAAACATCAACACATTTCTAAATATTATAATTCAAAAACATTTACGTAACAAATATTAAAGGAATAAACAATGTTTTAAATCATAAAGAAATACACGGAAAGACATTGATAATGACGAGTTGTTCCTTGCAAGAAGTCTAAGGCGCCGCGATTCGCTGTGCAGAGTTGCGTCCCTTGGGCACGCCAGAAACCTATGATTGTGGGTTCGAATCCCAGTTCGCCCAAATTATGTTTCTAGGTTTGTCAGCACCATACCCGTGCTCGTGGGTTTCACCGAAGTGGTAAAGGTCTGAGATCTGCATCACTTAGGGCTTTCCTCCCACATTAAGCTGACACGCCGTGATATAACTGGAATAATGTTAAAAGCGGCGTTAAACCCAACTTACTCACTCCTTGCAAGAAGAAACAGAACCATCATTTCTTTTACTAAAACGAGGAGCGTAATGGAGAAAACCATAATGAAGGCTCATTGATTTAAGTTTGTTGTTTAACGCCGCACTCAGCAATATTCCAACTATATGACGGCGATCTGTAAATAATCTAGTCTGGGCCAGATAATACAGTGATTGACATCATGAGCATCGATCCATGCAATTGGGATCGATGACATGAATAAACCAAGTCAGCGAGCCTGAACACCCGATCCCGTTAGTCGCCTCTAGCAACAAGCATATAGTGGCCTTTTACGGAAAGTGTGGGTTGCTGAAGACCTATACTACCCCGGATCTTCACGGGTCCTCAAATTCATGTACCGAGGGAAAGCTAACAATGCACCGTTAAATTGCAACTTCATTTCAACGTTAAATATTCACTTGAATGATGATGTTCTTGCAAATGGTACTACTATAGCTGAAGGGCTGGGACGGGTAACTCGGGTACCCGGGTCGGATGGGTACTGAGTAGGACCCGGGTACCCACAGAACTACCCGGAACCGTGGTTAGTCACGTGATACTAGTATATTGTTTAATGACAAAAAATATGCACCCATTCCATCTGACTTTTCATATGGTTGAATAAAGATATAATTTAAGTCAACTTCAGTGTGTGCATGACCAGATTGTGTCTAAATACGTTTTGCCAGGGTTATGGTTAAAAAAATAAATCCCAATTGGACATTTTGTACCTATCTCTTGAGGCATACAGTGGGTACCCGGGTAAGGTCGGGTAGTAGGGGGTTTGGTACCCGGGTAGTAAATGTGGACTCGCCCCAGCCCTATATAGCTGTGATCTCAGAAATGTTTCTTTAAAAATAACTTGATATGTCGGATGTGTTTGGTTGGTTGTCAGACGGATAGGTCCTTATAATATGACCCACGCTTACAATCTCATTAAAATCAGATCTGCGTCATGCTGAGAGGTATCGTATCGGCGCGTAAAAGAAATGATTTCAATGAGATTGAACGAGACCAAATAATATTCACGGTTTAGTCTCAGTTATGTCCCCTGATGCGTCAAGGGAGATTACTCTAACCAAGGTGCGCGATCTTGAAATCGTCTGCTCGACAATAGAAGGGAAAGTGCAAACGAGTGCTCAACTTTTCATAAATATTTCGCCGAAGAATGACGCATATATATCAAACTCTACTAGTTTTCATTGCGATTCCTGCACTGAGGGATGACCGTCCGAACTGACGGACGCAAAGTTGCTGCGAACGAAACCCACGCCACGTTCCTTGGGTCCTTATTACGAGAATGCAAACTGTAATCAAATGGCTTAAATTTCTACAATATGGCGTCCAAACCTAAACAGCCGAAATATAGTAAGTGTCCCCTTATTTTAGTCAGAACTAGTCAACTTGTACACACGAAGTCTCATCGTCGTAGCCTAACCGAATATGTTGCTAATAGTGTTGAACGTGCATTAGGCTCGCCTACAGTTTAGCTGACTGTACACAAGAAAATCACAGTCGCACTCACGAGACGTTCATCAAACGTTACAAACAGGGGTTAGTAATAAGTCGGTATTAGAATTTAGACACCGCATGACCCCAGATGATGGTTAAAATGATGATCTTTGAACGGAAAGAGACTATTAAAAACCGGAAAATATAATAATCATAACAGCTATCATAATCAAAATATCTTGCCAAATTGTTTATGAGTAAGCCAGTTAATTAAGCTTGTGAGCCCAGACTGAATATTAGGAGATTATGAGACCTCATTATTAACATGTTCAACAGACACACATGGAAACAACAGACCTTAAGGAATTAGGCTGTTCTAGTTTAGATAACATATTTTGTATTTATGCTTAATGAAAGAACTGTTAATTTTGAATTTATTGATATGATTGATTGAGTTTTCAATGCAGAAATTATGAAAAAATCTATCTGAAACGCTTTCATATAATTTTGAATCTGTATCAACATATCAAATGTATTCAGTGTTCGAAATAAGCGCCTGTGGCGGGTAGATCTTGTCGGGCCGTAGTTTCAAATTTGTATGGGTCCTTATTGCCTTCAGTAAATTTACATGCCTTGTTTTGTGTCACAGATTTGTACATGAGGGCCTGTAGAGTTTGGTCAGGGGCTGCAGCTTCTAAAGTATTTGTGTCCTCATGGCAGCTAGATATCTTTTTTCTTTCAAACACGGTGTTTATTATTCTTTGATCTGTGATCTGTTTAATGGTATTATGTATCAATCAAATTGATTATTTATTGGGTCAACCAATGCCTAAATGTTCTTACCCATGTAAACATATGGTTATATCAGTCATCAGTGTATGCTTGAACCAATATTTTGACAAAGTCACAACTATTTTTTCACAGGTGTGCCAAATTTCATGCATGGATCTCCTCATCATGATAATCATTAATGCTTGTATTTTTTGCCACAAAAATGAGCTTGAATATTGAGTGGTGTTATGCTTCACTGGAACAAAAGAAATATAAGCTCTTGGGTTAGAATTATAATTGACAGTAATTTTCAAGGTTTAACTTTGATATTGTTGCAATGGTATGGTGTAATAACAGATTTTGGACTTCTTGAGACACCAGACACCACAGATCTATCAAGCTCTAGTTATGTACCAAGCTCGAAAAGTGACGTTCACCAACAAGCTCATGTGCCTACAGCCTGTTGTGACAGCACCTCATCCAGGAGGTATAGTGACCAAGACATCACTTTTTATGAAAACAAATTGTTATTGTTATATGAAATTGCATCTAAAACTTGGACCTGTCCACTACTCTTTCATGAGATTCCTGATAGAAATGTTCAGGACACAAGTTAAAATTTTAGTTGAGTAAGTAAGCATTGATTTTTTTTGGACTTCAGATTACTGAAATGTTTGTTTGCTGCACTTGCAGTGATAAGACATTCAAAACAATTATCCATAATTATGGCAAAATTGTCTAAAAAGGAAAAGATTTTTCTGACCTTATTTCACATAACCCTAGCTGCTCTAAATAAATCATATCTTAGACCAAAGAAGTAGAACATCTGTCATTGCATGTTAAGTAGTTTCAATTCGAATGGTCTTTTCTATGTAGTTCCTCTGTGTCGAAGTACCCTCAAGAATCCTCTTCCTTTGCCACTCCGGCCATCCCACATCGCCGCTCGCTGTTCAAGACACCTGCCTCAAGAACACCATTCATCACACCGAGAGGCCCATCCTCTAACATGCGCACCCCAGGGTCAAGGAGAACTCCATACAACACCGGAGGGTCCACCACTACACCGGCTGACCATAACTCATCAGTCATTGTTGGTAAGATACTGAAAATCTTGAAATTAATTCTTACCAAATTAATCTGAGTGCTGTCCCCTGTCCTAAAATGTGTCATGTAGTTATTGCAAGTATCCCAATGCCTTTGAATTTGAAAAACACTATCTCCTTAATCAGCAATCAACAACACCAAGGCTGTTGTTAATTTAGAATACCAGTATATGTGTGGGGAATCATTACCATTGACTGAATATTAGAATTTCCTTTTCTCACAAACTAAACTCCTCCTCCTTGACAAATGATGTAACTCTGCCAAATCTGGCATATTCAGATAACATTGGTCAGGTCAGTCAATGAAAAATGTAATGGTTCCAAGTTATATTACACATTATTTTGAACATGAACATGGACAGGTGATTTTATATATTAGCTAGGCATCACCAAATTTACTGTTACTGTACTGGACATTTTCACTATGTGGATGAGCAGTTTTGTGCCTTTTAATTATAACATTATTTGACAAGGCTACAAAAACGAAGACACCATCAGACATGTTTGGCAAGTGTCATAACTGCTTAGTCGACATATATTATGGTGTTTCAGCCATTGTTGAGGGACGTGGTCTGGCTCGTGGAGAGATTGGCATGACAAGTTTGGATCTGAAGTCACCTGTTCTGAATCTCTCCCAGTTCTCTGATACACAGACGTATGTGAAGACCATGACAAAGCTGGAGATTCTTCAGCCAATAGAGGTGAGAACTGCATGTATCTGATCAACTAGCACTCTCTATCAACTATCACATGAATCAACAATAACAGTTGATGCCCAATGTCTGTCAGTGTATGATTTTGAAAAATGAAAGTAGATACTGTCATTCAAATAAATCCAAAAGTTCAAATAAGAGAAGTAAATCAGAAATTGGTAAAAGATCTATTTAAGTAGTGAAAAAAACAACAATAAGGAATTGTTAAATCATTTACTTAGAGTGCTTTCCTGGTACATATTTATTTTTTTCTGAAGTGCAGCGTTAGAAACTAATTATTTTAGTCCACAAGTCCATATAATGATAACATATAGCAAAATCCATAAGAATGGAAAATTTCTACTTGTCCTTATGATTCCTTAACTATTGGGCAGTTTGGCAAGGACTACAGGACCAGTGCCAATTTCTGGTCAGAGATGACTCCCTTTAAAATGTAAATTGTTTTGAGTGACTATGTTTTAACAAGTATATTACAGTATTTCAGATTCATGTGGGAGGGAAGTCAATATTGATGCAGGACAAAGATGGTGTGATATTGGTGAAACATGCAATCATGGGTATGGTGCTAACAAACCAAGGATCATAATCATGGCCATGACGGCTTATCTGAAATTCGAACCCAATACCTATGATTTTGCAATTGTTTTTGGACATTTTGTTCAGATTATCATGCCCAACACGGCCTGCGAGACTGGCAACATGACCAAACTTTACACCCTCATCAACGATCACTTCCAAAACTCTACAGTATCAACTGTGCAGAGAAAATACTTTAATGAAACAAAAGGTATGTTAGTTGGCTAACTAGTGTTTGTTTCAATAGTCCTTACAAGTGACCACTCATATCGTTCATTGAGATACATTTAATTTCTCACATTGTATGATATGTATTGTATTACATGGACTTTAGGTTGGCAGCAGGATATGTAACAGATATCATGGCAATGTAAATTATATCCTTGAACTAGAATTTTGAATATATGTTGTGTTTCATACTAGTACTAACTGATAGAGAGGGAGTTATTATTGTAAGAGAAAAACAGGAAAATGGAGACTGGCAACTTTTGAGCTGGACTGGTGGTGATTTTGTGACCAGTTTTCACCCCTGATAGAGACATGATATAAGCTTGTGAATATTATTTTACACCACAGTCAGTGATATTCCAGCTGTATCATGCAAGCTGTTAATTGAGTTAGGGACAGTCAAACAAGTAGTTGATACCATTGTCAACATTGGGTAGCCACTTGATCCTCGTTCTATTGAGTTCTTTTGACCAGCATTGACAAGCATAGGGGTACTCAGGACATTCTTCTCTGGAGTAATCTGACTTTAACTAAACAGATGCCCCGAGCTCACGTTGTTGGGATAGGGACCATTCAAACATAATGTATTGACTTGTTTGTGCCCAACCTACAATTTAAGATTTGAGTTAAATAGGTAGGTCTTTTTTTTTTTCATCCTTGTCATTCTAAGATGAAGTGAATATTTACTGTAAATTTAACAAGAAATAAGACAAGTAAATTGTATTGAGCTGAGCTGGTTTTGGGGTATAATGAGCAATCAAGCTGTAGATTTCAATCATGCATAATAAAACTGCACTGGTTGAGGATGTTTTGTGGTAGTCATGCTTGCTGATATGTTGACAGTATGGGTTATCTCCCTTCCAGGCCTGCAGCAGATCCGCTACCTTGTCGTGCCAGACCTGAAGACTGTAGAAATAGAGGTGGCATCCAAGTACGTGAAACATTTGCTCTGGGTAATAAATATGTTAGGAAGGAAATGAAGGATTTTGTTCTTTATATTTTATTATATTGCTCTTTGAAATGAGCAAAAGCTTAAAATAGGGTTGTTTTAATGAATTCAAACATTGTAATAGGAAAAGAAGAAAAACAGAGACATTGTTTCAGATTGGTTCATTTTCTACTTCTAGGACACTGACTGATTTTTTTCTGAGATGTCCCACAGATCTTCTTCAAATTTGATAATGATATAGAAAAGAGACTTACATTATCATGATTGTTAAAACACTTGTGTTGGTGCAGACATTTAATTCCACTGTTATGTATTTATGTTGTGTGTTCAAGCCTTTGAATATTGCTTCCCTTTACCGAAAACAAGTAAAACTACCGGTATATCATCCATACTGATGCCCTACTGCACACCACTAGGTACTACTGTCTGGCAACCACAGCAGCGCTGCTCAAGTACACAGAGTTCATACAGAACATCATGTATGCTCCAGCCTCCGTCAAGGTGATCTTCAAGGGCAGTGAACAGACCACAATGATAGGTGAGATATACACAACTAGATATTGATATCAGGACATATGAAAATATGATTTTTTCAATAACCATATGCTAAATAGACATATTGCAAAAAAAAAAATCCACATCTTACAAGAGGAAGTGTTATATGTCTGACATTATGTATGGAAATTTAAACTTTTGGTTTGTGTATATAGTTATCATTCTTCTTGGATATGGTTATTCTTTATTCATATCACACTGTAGGCCGACAACCCATTGTACATTTGGGTAGTCAGGTCCACAACTGACATTAAAGAACTTCTAACATTCATTGCATTGAACATATATAATGAGAGGTTTTTCATGGTTGCAGCATGGCATGATGACTATTTATTTAATGTAGGATGGACATAATATTTTCCTGGAATATATTTATGTCTAAGATTATTATATGTTTTACAAATTAACAGAAAGTGGTATTCATTTTCGATAAGACCAATGTTACAGAGGTTACAAAATCTTTGATCTCTTGGGACATTATGATATCTACCCATTTCAATATGATCATTCTTCTTGTGTGACACATATTCGAGCAGTGACATGTATACTGCAGATGCATCAACTGCAAAGAACTTGGAGTTGCTTCAGAACAGACGAGATCCAAAGAGTGAGCATACACTGTATGGCGTCCTGAATCACACCAAGACGCATGGTGGGGCCAGGATGCTCCGCTCCAACATATTGCAGCCCCCATCAGGTTCACATCTCTATCCTAATCTGTCAATATTAAATACTGGGATCTAACTCCAACATAATGTAGTATTCCCTCAGTTTCACATCGCTATCATTATCTGATAATGTTACCGGTAATAGCTTGTCCTTTCTCTGCTCTAACATACTGTTGTCTCTCTTAGGTTCACATCTATATCATGACTTGTCAACATTAATTAGATTGTTTGTTATCAGTAGGGAGTTAAAGGTTTAATGTTGCATCTGCAGAATTTCAGCTGCATATAAAAGAAATCAAGTCTAGTCTGTGGATAAATAAAGTTGTTATGATAATTGTCTTTGCTCTAAAAAGGGTTTCCATAACAGAATATGTTTACAATGCCGACTCTTTAAGCTACACATAGTAGACCTACATTTACTTGACTTGGCTGGTATCTGGACTGCTTTTGTACAGTTGTAGATTCAGTAATGCATTGAGTTTGACTGCTGTATTACTTACATTAACACTGGTAGCACATGCAGCTAATTGGTCACTGTTGAAAATTGTTCAGATAGCCCCACATATACAACTTATAAGGATTTTTTGTTGTATTCTGATTGAAATTTACCACTTTCTGTGTACATGATACCAAATCGATGAAATAATGAACTGTCACGTTTGTTATCATGTGTTTAACACCAGCCATGCTAATATGTCACATAAGATAATATGTTCTCAAATTAGGCTTAAACAAAACATTGTCATATGATGGCACATATGGAAATATCTTCATTCTATTGTAAGGCAAAAAAAATTAACATTCTGGACCCCCAAGTAATATATCTTTTCCCATTTCAAAACTGTCTTAAAAAGTCTTTTCCAGATATGAAAACATTTCTTTTCTGTTGTAGATTTTGAAACAATATGCACCAGACAGGACATCGTGGCGGAGCTGACTGAAAAGGAGGAGATATTTCTGAACCTGCAGTCTGTGGTCAGTCGCTTCCTGGACATAGATCACCTCATCTCCCTGTGTGTCCAGCTGCCCAAACAGGAGACGCTCAAGACTGCCGAGTCGAAGATCACCAACATCATTCACCTCAAACACACACTGGAGCTGGTGTCTCATCTCACTGAGTTCCTCAAGGACTGTGAAAATGACTTACTTAAAGCATACTGCAAGGTAAATATTTTATGAAACAATAATAGTAATATTTCATTCCTGATTTTTATGATAATATTTAAAAATAAATAAATATACAATATGTTTGATGTAGTAAGCGAGACAGTATGTTTGTTTCCATTAACTGAACATGTTTCTGGCTCACAATACACTTGTTATGAAGAAGTTAACAATTCAATTCAAACCTGTATCTCATGAATTTGTAGTCTGAAATAAACAGATTCATCTGCATATGATTATTTCTGCCAGTATCGTGGTCATAATGAAGATACATATACATATATCTCTGGTGCTCTCCTTAACAAGGTCTGTCGTTTAGATACTCAATGTAGCTATGATTACAGGCATTTAAGAATTGACTGTGCTACACAGATTCATCCAGTTTGCACATCATTTTTGTAATCCATACCTCAATGAACCGAAAAAAAAATACACAATCAATCGATCCTTACAATTAAATTTGACAACAAACACATGTGTTATCTACAATAGTTTAATAAAATACAATTATATAAGTCAAAGAAGACAAATATGACAAGATTGATAAACAGGCATAGGAATACATGCTGTGACATGACATGAATCAGGTGATTGTCTCATTTATGCACATAACTTGACATGCCCGCAAAGTCTGCAACCAATCACCAGGGTAGCATAAAAAAAAGTTCATAGCACATGTCAAGCGGGGCAAGAGGCAAGAACTGCAACTATCAGACTGTCACGAATGGAACAAATATGTCAGGGATAAGGCGTCTGTTTCAAATGACATGGTCAGTAACCACCAGATTCAAACATTAGTTCCCTGAGAACGGGAAGACACAGTGAAAAAATGCGAATTAGAAATGAGACCCATAGACATGAAGTTTATGGAACCCAGGCAAGCGAGTCTGCATGTTTGCTGTTTTATCCCTTCTTGGCCTTCAGCCTCAAAGGATAGTTTGGTCTATGAATATGCATGAATTTCACTAAAAACTCCTTTGAATGATGATACTGGTAATCAGAATGCAGGAATTGCAGTGAACACAACAAAAATTTAATTAGTTTTAAAAGTAAATACAGTGTTCCCTTGTTATTGTACCCTTCGATATAGCGTTAACTCGGTTTTAGCGCGCGGTAAAGCATGGCTACCAAAATTTACTAACATTTTCAATGAACTCAAGTTTTCCAATGACGCGATGTTTTCCCCCCCATCTCAGAAAACATTATCAGCTGATCACCGCGATCACGTAACACCGGAAATACCAGTCAACAAATCCAAAATGAAGTACGCAATTTGATCCTATTATTATAATATCTGGTAATAAAAAAAATGTTCATTGTTTATCTGGACTAATGTTTGCAATATATTTTTTTAAATTATATTCAAAATTTCATTCAATAATGTTTACAATAATTTCAGTGAAATCGTATGCGAAGTGATCGCAGAACTCACCGTTATTTACAGCAACCACGGTCAGATTACCGCTATTGACACCTTGAAACGAACTTTAGTTGCAAGAGAATGGATACACATATCATAAATGCCGTACCATGACTCGCTAAAAGTCATATTTGAAGCAGTTTTGACTAGAATTAATGAAAAATTTGATGGAATTGACTACATGTATATATATTTATGGCTTTACCATTGTTTACAGCTTGATCATTTCTAATTGTGTAAACAGGACTTAATTCAGTTACACTCTGCAATGACATTTGTGGTAGAAAAGAAAGTCATCTAAAACTTATCTATTTATCAGCTGCTGTACATCACTAATGGGAAGTTTTGAAGTTTTGAAACATGATAACAGTTACTTTTTCCTTAAAATATTTGTTATATGAAATGAAAACAATATATGTATTTATCATGAAAATCTAGTCTCTTGAGGATCCACGTTTTGAGGCAATCATGTCAAAGATCCACACAGTGATTCATGAAGACACAAAGTACGAGAAAGGAACGCTCAACATAAGGACACAGAAGTGTTTTGCTGTCAAGGTAGGCATGTTGAAATCCTGAATAAAACATTACCATCTATTTCTGGGGAAAAATATCTAATGAATGTAGTTATTAGTATTTCATGTTAAGTAAAGCTTATCTTTGCAAATTTTCTTACATTTCTACATAAGAAATGGATGTTTGTTTAGTTCCATGCCTAACAGCTTTGTTATGCAAACAATAAACACCAAGACCAGCAATACCATCTTGGCATGGCACACATGGCAACATGAAGAACAGAAGAATGTCTTTTTTCCCCCTTACTGACTAATATTTTTTTACAAAAGGACTTCCCTCAGAACCATTTAAACTTTTAGAGGTAATATCTGTTTGCCAGAACCACATCACAAGCTATTCAAATGATAAAAATGACCAAAATTATACTTGTTGTTTATCATATGATGGCATAATTTCATTTGTATTTTTTCAGCCAAATCTCAATGGTGAGTGGATAACAGTGTATCTTATGCACAAGAAATGAATCACATTTACCTCAAATGTTCATTCACACAATGTGTAGACTTATTTGAAAGATTTAATGTGATGTGTCACATGTTTCTAATATACTAATATTATTAAATATTTCTTTTAAATTTTCACTTCTTTGTATTACCTGTATATAGCAGTAATATTGCTTCTTCTATTGATTCCAGGTTTGTTGGATGTTGGTCGGAGGACGTACACTGAAATTGTGGATGACATTGCTGGTAAGTGCCTGTTACTGCTTTCTGCAGCTATAGACAGGTATACAGTGTACCCCACCCCATTGCCCTATATCCCTGACTCCTGGCCAATCTTTTTTACAGGTACTGGTTCAAGTGACCATAACTATTCACATCAGTTTGCAGTGTTGGATGCACCATACTCTCACAGATCAAAACTATTTCAATTTCTTCACCTAATATCTAAAATATTAAAATAACTTTGAGAGAAAATAATGGGACCTTTGTGCTCTTCTATTGTGAACACCACAAAAAACGGGTATTTTTGTGGTTGAAAGCAACCCCTGATGTCATTAGCAGAGACCCTGTTGTGGCAATGTTCCAGAAATGGTGAAACAGATTGGTGAGAAGTACAGCCTCCCATTACGGACAGCATACAACACAGTGCGTGGGTTCTACATCCAGCTGTACTGCGGAGGGAAGGAGGCCTACACACAGGAGACCCTGCCGGGCATCTTCATCAAGATCACCAAGTGCAAGAGCACTCTCAGTTTCACCACGTCAGACTTGGTAAGTAGTTCACCTATTAGCCCAGATGGGATTCAGGATAGAATAGGTCCCCAAATCATATGCTTATTGCCAGTGCCCAGTAGTGAGGATTGGGTAGAAACATTGTGTGACCTGATTGAATGTGTGTAATTGTGGCCAGAAAATAATTGGATGTTTGATCCCAATGTTAGCCTCTGGTGTGCCTGGTCCACTTCTGATTATTTATAGGCCTCTGTGAAATAGCTATGATATTGCGTCCAGCAGCATAAAACATAAATTAACTCACTCCCACTATTTTGAAAATAAATTGGATGAAAATTTAATAGTTCATTTATTGTGGTCTAAGGAGGAGGATACATGTACAATAGTTGTGTTCTTTGGGTGATATGTTTATGAAGTATGTGAAAGCTGCAACATGTCAAGAGTTTAAGTTTGCCAGGAGGCACAGGTCATTGACCAGTTTTGTTGACCCTGAAGAAACCCAAATGATTTTGATATTCCTGAAACCCTGTTTGTACTGGGCATCATTTGACCCTTAAACACATGTTAAATGTTGAAATCAACATTATGTCATAAGATAACTTGTAAATTTTTGGCATTGCTAAATGCACCCAAAGTATCTGCTCGTTCAAATTTTATGAGTCTGTTGCCCTGTATTTAGACATCCTTATCAAAAACAACTCTTGATAGACTTATACATACAAGACTTATACACAATTTGTACATGTTATGTATTGTATTGTATTGTATTGTATTGTATGTATTTATGTATTTATGTATGCATGCATGCATGCATGCATGCATGCATGCATGCATGCATGTATGTATGTATGTATGTATGTATGTATGTATGTATGTATGTATGTATGTATGTATGTATGTATATGTATGTATGTAATTGTATGTATTGTATGTATGTATGTATATATGTGCGTGTGTGCGTGTGTGCGTGGCAAATTAGTCCTTTGTTAATTTGTGTTTTCAAATATTGAACAAATAAAATATGGTGGATGTCTCAACTGTGTTAGATGATGAACCTTATGGTATAATTATGTTGTGAAAATACGATGTTGGTAAAATCCACTTATCCACAGATCAAACTGAATGGTAAGTTGTGTTTGGTTAACAGAGAAACTCATCCTCTGAGGTTATTTTGTTACTGTAGAGTTTATGTTGTTTATAGTTGGCTGTTCACTTGGGTGAAGAAATGTATCATTAGATGAAAAATTGTTAAAATCATTGTTCATATTCCTTAGTAAAAGGCCGTTAACCCACAGAGATAATTTACTGTTAACTCATGTTTTTTGTTTTTTCTTTGATGTTTTTTAACTTTTGCCCAGCTAATATTATTATCATGAAATTGTTTATATGATACATCGCTTATTATTGATTATATGTGGTCTATACCAGTACATAATTACCATGTTGGTGGTAACGGATCAGTAAAGAAATAAGATTGAGTGATTGAATATGACCATGATGACATGGGGAAGTATGTCTGCCTCTCAAATCCTTTAAAACATACAGCCTATATCTGATTACTGGTCTTTTAGTGAATGCATTTATTGACTCTTCAGATCGTATTAAAGAATCACTACAGGAGATTTATCTCATGACAAACATGTAAGTATGCATTTTGCAAATCTGTTAGCATTTGCATATATTTATATGTTACAGTTACTTTAATATATCTTCATTCTTCAAGGTCATGATTAATATATTAATAGATTTTCTTATGCCTCGTCCTGCGTTACATAATTATAGTGTCCTCAAGAAGAAAATTGCTGTGTATTCACTTCTTTCGTTCCTTGATGAAATACCGCATATACAAAATTCTACCAAACATCTCATCCATCAACAACCAATGTATACAGATGTTTATATCAGTTTGTTTTCAAAATATAGAATATAAAAAATGTTATGCCTTCTGGCTTACAGGATGAAAGTATTTTGATGAAAATCTAATAATTAATTTATTGTTGCGTAATTGCTGAGAATTCTTATTCATTGAATGTTTAATGTATCAGGGAATTGATATGGATTTCGATTAGACTCACAGGTGACCTTATCTGTTTCATGTGATAAATTACAATGTTTGTTCCAGTGTCGTGTCTGATCTCCTAAGTGACATTCGAGAGCATATTGGCTGCTTGTACAAGCTGTCTGAATGTGTTTCAAACCTGGATATGCTGCTTGCATTTGCCAAGGCCTGTAGTCTTTCCTCGTATGGTAAGTTGTTTGTTCAGGAAACCAAAAAAACCCCTAATTTAGCCTAATCAGCAATCAATCAGTGACAAACCATCACTATTGGTATGTAAACCCTTGTCTGAGGATTAAAAGGTACCCCTGGTATATCATTTTTGTCTTAAATGTGAATGTCTGCATAAAACCTTGGTAATTTGAAATGGTATATGACATATTAACATGATTAAAATGTGATTTCTCTTAATCATTTAATGATTACATTGAGAACATGTTTCATTCACTACATTGCCTCAATATTCATCTAATTTGGTCATGCATGTTCCTATTTCTTTTGTTTTAAGACTTTTGAAAACATTATTCATGTATTTTAATGAGATTTCATGTTAAGTTCTGTATTTTGTGTTATGTTGTATAAACATCATAAAGTATTGTTCTGATCCTGTTACTAAAGGAATACCCAGTACATATATTGTAAGACTGTAAGACTATATGAGATTGAGAAAATGAGAATATTATTTAGTTGAGAAAGAATGTTAAAGTTAGCCTGCTTTGATGACATCTTGACATTTTTTTCATGATTTGAGCTCTAATTGTTGAAACAGATGAGTGCAACTGTAAGTTATCATACAAAAGAGGGCATTGTGGCCTAGCAGTCTCTAGTGTGACCTTACTCTGTGCAGAGTTGCATCCATTGGTTGTCCACTGGCAAGATCTGCTGATAATAGGGTTGAAACCCAAGACTGACCTGATCCTTGGTGTGTCTGCACCATGGTTTGACATGAAGTTTCAGGTACAATATTACTGTCAGTGGTGTATTCTTTTCTACAGTGAGACCAGAATTTACAGACACATTAGCAATCAAGCAGGGCCGTCATCCCATTCTAGAAAATATTGGAGTAGAAGCTCCAGTACCAAACAATACTGTGAGTATGTACTGAGTCCTTGGATTAAAACTGTTTTGATTGTTGTTTGTTCGTTTTCGAGCTCAATTATACCGATGGCAGTCTGTAAGTTATCAAATCTGGACCAGACAATCCTGTGTTTAACATCTTAGCATCGATCCACAATTTGGGATATAATGCAGTAACATGATGTGCATTCAACCAAATTACTGAGCCTGACCTTCCGATCCATTTAGTCATCTATATTCTTACCAAGAATCCCCAAGGTCATCTTTAAGTCATCAAGATATATCTTCCTTGCTGCTAATGTATGAAAACAATGAGATATGATTTGAAAAGTCAGTCCTATTTGGTAAGGATAAATTAGATTGTTATCTTTTTGTAAGTGAAACATTTATATGTGCCTAACTGAATCTTTTCCTGTTTTCAGTATGCATCTGAAGACAGTAACTTTATTATCATCACAGGTCCTAACATGGTTTGTATAATAACATCTCTCTGGTTATTTGATAACAAATCCATTGACCTGCTCTTTGTGAAGGAATTATGTGTTGATCAAAAGGACACACGCATCAAACGTTTATATGAATAGATTGTGAACGTCACTTATCAAAAAACTGTTGTAGTGCAAGGAGTAAGTGACTGTTGCTTAACACAACATTCAGCATTACTGTAGCTTTATTTGGGTGGCCTATAAGTATGTTTGGACCAGACAAATGTAACCAGGAACAGTCCTATACAAGGGGGTTAAGTGACACATTCAACATGATTCTGAAAGATGAGATATTTTAGAATGCTTGTGCATCTGTGCATGTGAGTTATTGGAGGTTGGTGTGTGTTTTGGCAATTTGATTGACTGGAGAAATGTTTCTTTAGGAATGACCAATTTAATTACTTGTTTACAGATGTTTATGCCAAAAGTAACTGAACACAGGAAGGAGGAAAAATAAATTCACATGTCTTAATTTATTACTGCGTTATTACATGTTATTTCATGTCATACACTCACATTTGGGGGTTAATCCTTTAGCAGTGTTTCAGGGACACAATGCTTTTTTTTCCATTCAGGTGAATTATGAATGTAACTGTAAATAGTGAGATGAGATTACTAGTCACCATTCCATTAGTTCCTGGTTCCCTTCCTAGATGTTTTTTACATGATTTATAGATGACAGATTTTGCCTGTAAAACAAGTGATTGCCTAATCTGGCCTTTATAGTACAAGTTTATGCCAACTTGACACAAATGGCCATTGAATTGAAATACCAAGGTTATATTTTCCCAGTGCAGCTCAAGTGGTATGCATCAGCTTCCATAACTTATTTCAGAGTGGGAAGTCGACCTACTTACGTCAAGTGGCTCTTCTGCAGATCATGGCACAGATTGGGTCATTTGTTCCAGCACAGTATGCATCCTTCCGGATTGCCAGTCAGATCTTCTCCCGTATTGGCAGTGATGATGACATGGAAACAAACTCATCAACGTTTATGTTGGAGGTTTGTCAAACTTTGTTTAAATTAACCTGGCAGTAAGCAGTTGCCATCTGCTGATATAGGAGGTCATTGATAGGCATTTCTTGCCTCTTCATCAGGTGAAAACTGAGTGTGAAAATGGACATCTTGATTGTTAACTTTTTACGTTGTCATATTGTAATCCTTGTCAGCTCTAAGTTAGCATGCTCAGTCCTATCACTCTGTTTTCACTGCAGTTATTTTAGCTTCTTGGTTGTTATCCTACTGGCTTCTTCATTGTACTGTTTATCTTTGTACATTAACCTTCACCCTGTGTAAACATATCAGCATAGGTGTATATTTTAAATCACATAATGTTTTCTCAGTAGTCACCTGATAAAACTGCCAATAGAATCCCTGATACAAAATCACAAAGTTGCAAATAATAAAGAAATGGTTATATATATCAATAAAAGTTTCATGTCTTCATATTTTTGTCATATCGGTTGTAAGTAAGGCAACACATTTATGGATTCGACCGACTACAGCCAAAAGACACAATAAGATAAAATATTTATAAACCAGAGATTAAAAATAGGCCCTAATTTGTAGTAAAATCTTCTATAATAGTTCAGTTTTCCTGTGTTCAGTTCTAACCATGATACTTACATGGGACTTATCTACACCTGCTCCGAGGCCAATATTCAGCTCTAAATCTGCAGCAAATTATGGAATAAAACATGTCTCAATTCATGCTATGATATTTATGACTCATCATGCTAATGCTTTGGTTTGTCAATAAGACTTGTATTTTACTGATAACAAGACCAATCAATTAGAAGAGGATTTAAAGCTAATTTTTAAATTACAACTGAATGCAATGTTTATATACAGTGTTAAATGTCTCTCATGTAAGGAAAATAAAAACTATAACAAAAATCTCAATTTTGAACCAAATAATGATTTTTGTCCCAATTTGGTCACTTAGTTTAGAATCCTGGATAAATTACTGTGCTATGTTAACAACACATTGTGACATGAATGTTATAAACATATGGAAGCAGCGTTAGAAATTGGCACAAGTCCTGTAGTCCTTGACAAACTGCCCAATAGTTAAGGTATCATAAGGACTAGTAGAAATTTGCCCCTTTTGAGGGTGTTGCTATATGTTATCATTATAAGGACTAGTGGATGAAAACTGTTAGTTTGTAACCCTGTGGAAGGAATGATATGGAAAGTGGCTTTGTGAGAAGATATGTATGATCAGTGATGTTAAAGTGAAGTTATTTACCAGTATAGTTTCTCTCAGCATTCTCATACACTGTATACACTCACTATTTTCAACACAAGTGATGTGTAGTGGTATGCATGTTAAAGGCCACACTAGATTTATCATATAATTAAATTTTTGAGGCAACAAATTAACTTAGGTACACCAATAAAAAAAACTGTAACTCAATATTTTAGGTTGGTCAGTTTAGTGTGAAAAAAATAATTACTTCTTTTAATAGTGATGAGTATTTATTTCTGTCAGAAAGGGATTGGTTTCTTCATCATCTGTTTGCAGTGATCTCAGATTATACTGTTCTTTTCTAAGATAATTTTTTTTTGGTAGTTATATAGATATGGGATCTGTCCGTCCATCATGTTTCATTTTCAGACATTCACCATATGGTGTAGATGTGCCTTTGGCTATTTTGGTTTCCCCTGCATTATTAATATAATATTTTATATAAGTTTTTGAACTTTGGACTTAGTCTCTGAACCGACTGTGAAACAGTGGTTTTTCAGTTCTGGAGCAGAGTTCGAAAACTATTCGAGCCATCTTCTGAAACTTAGTACATACATTTACCATGTAGTGTAGATGTGCCTTCTGCTATTTCATGATATCATACAATTCATGATATCTAAGTGAGTGAATTGTCCTAAGGTGGGGGATATAGATGACCTCTTCTTGTCCATTGTCCATTATCCATTAGAAATAGAATTGTTGGGAAAATGAAACTCAACTTATCATCAGATCATAGGTTTTTGGACATAGATGTAATATGTTACTCGTGCTATAATTGGGGGTGTAGCATCACACAAACATTGTAAATACTCGATGATGGCTTGTTTTTAATAGAAAGTTGTCTGTTATATGTGCATGAGATGTTTTACAGTTGTGCATGTGATTAGAGAGAAAACTAAAAATGTTTCTGAAGCATCCGAAAACCCATAACACAGCCAACATGATTTTGATGGTGGCCTTTGGCTTTGTTGTTTCATAAATGATTTCTTTTGTTTTATGTTGTGTAACAACAAATACTCCTACTAATAATGTGCACCACCTATCTCACTGAAGCGTGTGTAAAATATCTGCTTCAGATGAAGGAAATCAACTATATCTGCCAGAATGCCTGTAATGACAGTCTCATCATCATTGATGAACTTGGAAGAGGTGAGACATTAAACATTACCAGTATTTAAATCAATTACTCCTCTGTTTGAAAACAGCTTTGTCTAATCACAGGCTTGTTTGCTTATTATAGGCAAATCAACATGGGCAAGCAATATCTTGGTTATTGATAAATATGTTCAAGTTTTTCCTATATGAATAGGGCAAACAGTATTTTGGCAATTGTTAAATATACTTGAATTGTCCTGTATCCTTGCCCTGGGACATGCATTTCATAATCTGAGTTGCCAGTGAGCTAGGTGTATGAGTGTGCAAGGCTCAGTGAACACATTTCATGTTCATCATTAAGAGTGACTCACACATAGGTCTCACAGTTAAGCATAGATTTCACAAATATCTTTTGAAATATGATTCTTGTGGAAGCATTTTGAGTCCTTAGGCTCTTTGACTTTTAGCCATAGTTTAAATAGGTTAGACCATTTGGACCCAAGTGTAAATTTACTGAAATTGTTTGGTAGACTAGTTAGTGGAACTGGCCATTATGACAATTAAACACAAGCTCAGCGTTTCTTTATCTATCATCCTTTTCTTCTCATTTACTCAAACAGATAATATAAACAGATTTCAAACTTTCAAACATCATTGGCAGAAAGTGCATTTTAGCTCATCCTCACGTTTGACATTTACATTTCTTTTTCAAACAGTATATATATGTTTGTCTTTGTATATTTATATGCATCATTATCCTAAGATAGAAAACAAACACAGTAACCGAAAAACAATTCTCATGAAGTCATCTTTCAAACTTGGATTCTTGAACTTTTAAGATTCTAAGGCACCAAAAAAGCAGGTATTTATGTTATGTTATGTTTTCCCATTGAATTAACACAAACTATGGAGGGTCCTTGTTTTTTGTTTTTTATAGGCACCAGTGCTGAAGAGGGTGTTGGGATCTGCCATGCTATTTGTGAATATCTGCTCAAGTTCAAGGTAGGCTAGTGAACAATATCCTGTTAGAATGCATGATACTGTGTGAAATGCAGTGAAACAATCGATCATTGAAAAGGTCTGCTGTGTACATATTGATACATAATACATGTACTTCATTGGTACTTGCTACTTGCTACAGTCAGTGAGAGAGTGATTAGTAAAGGTCAGCAAATGTCCAGCTGTCATGGTAAGTAAAGAAGTTTTAGCCATGGAAATCATTGGTTTATGAAATGAGCAAACTCCCAGATTTTAGCTTTCCTGGCTTATAGTCAAGTAAAGTTATGTTGTGGTCCGTTTGTCCATCGTCCATTGTAAACATGAAGACCAAGACCAATGAAGCTGACGTCACTTTTTTCTTCCTACCAATTGTGCCAATCCAAATTGTTCAAAGATTCGAGTCTAATTTTTAGTATGGCCTCCACAGCAGTCCTATTGAAAAACTTATTTATGGCTGTTACTCAGCCATTTTTGTTAAAAATGTAATGAAATTTGGTATTGTTCTATGCTTAGCTAGTATGGGTCATATGGTTGTTTTTGGTGATAATTTAAAGATGGACCTTGAATTAAGCTTGGTGTTTTGACAATTCTCATAAATTCCCTCAAACTGCATTTCTTTGCACTGTAAGCATCATCTCTTTAGAAACTAGTTTAAGTTGCTCATGCTTATTCCCACCAATGATGACAGCAACTTATGGTGAGAAGCTGTCTTTGTTGACATTTTAATCTCTTGACTACGTGTTCCTGTGAGCTACAGTGCAATGGCACTGCTTTTATTTTTTAAAGGCTACTAGACATACTTGTAACTGGAATACCACTAAACAACATTTGCTTACTCAATGTAGGTTGATTTTGTTAACTTTTTCATATATATACTACCGACCACCATGACACTACCACCTCTAATATCGATCAAGGCCAAGAATTGTTGCCCTTGCATACCACTTTCCGCAACATCGCCAACAACGTTTTCTGCAATCGGTGAATAGGAGACAAAACCTTGATTTGTTGGTGCACAATTTGTCCCTAGGTTTGCATAGGCTATCCCAATCTTTGCCACCAGCTGTTAGGGTCACCCCCTTTGCAGGATGCCATGCTTTCAGGCTACCTGCATAGAGCATTTTTTAATGGTAGATGTTGAAATTTGCCTTAATTTTTGTTATTGTATGGAAGTTGCTTTGATAACAGGAACAGATTTGAATCTGTTGTGTAGTGTAATTAATGTAATGAGATGATCTTGGCTAGGTGTCATTTTTCTGGCCTGACACTGTGACACACCCACGCCACCTGTTTGACTGTACTTGTCCCACAGTTGAAAAATTACACTTTTTGATTTGCCAAACATTTGGGCAACTTGGGATATTGATGTCCCCATTCTGTCGTACACACAAGTCTCTATTCTGCCTTTTTGTTGAGATACTGTCTCGGAGGCAGTTTTAAGTGTGTGCAAAGCTAAATTACATTTGTGATGCCCTGTTGGCACACATGACTGACTCCATGGTCTAGTGGTAGAGCGCCTGCCCAGTGAGCAGAAGGTTGGGGGTTAGATGACCAGCTGCGTCATACCAAAAGACGTTAAAAGATGGTACTTGTTGTTACCCTGCCTGGTGCGTGGCATTAAGGGACTAAAACAATGACTGATTGCCTTGGCGTCAGTACACTGTGTCTGAGTGGGGTATCTGTGGCATGGTATCTCAGTTGGCTAGCAATATAAAATCAGCAATAGTCCGGACTAGTCCAAGCAGCCACACACACAGTTACACAGACACGTGCATGCACATTGCTATATAAGTACAATTAACTTGAACACGGCGTTAAACCCCTTCTGTGTTCATGTGCATCACATGCTTTATGTCATATGCCTGATGAGAAATTTCATTAGATGTTACAGGGTTTGACAAATGTCTTATCTACACGCTAGCCCACTGGTCAAGTAAGAAATATTACAGATATTAAGTTACAAGTCTAACAGAAATTCAGAAATTTAAGAGAGCAAACACTTGTCAATATAGTTAAGGTCATTTTATTCATGACTTTACTGACTTTGTTTGTTTCATGCTCTTCTGACTATGGAAATTTGAGCTTCCACGACTGTTGGAATGTCCTTCCCCTCTTTCTTACACTTTGTGTTGGTTCATAGGGCTTTTCCATTTGCCGCAGTGGCTTTAGGTTTTAAATAATTCCACAAAGCGGATCCGGCTGTGACGGCCATTACAGAATAGCGGTATGTGAAGCGTAGAAAGTAGCATTAATTTGAATGGTCACATTAATCACTTCCTGTTTGCTACGATGGAATTTATTGGTTATTAACAACTGGTCTCACACTTTCCTATGTAGAGTTCTTATCATAGCATGTACATGCCACACGGACATAAATAGCGAGTTTTCAGATATTTTATACATCGTGTTACGGTCTCAGTAAGGGAGGTAACTAAGATTGGTAGTTGGCAGAGACATGTTAGTGTACGGCTTTTGTTTACTGAATAAAAGATCGAGTGAGTTTTAACCTGACTTAAAGCGATTGGTACACTATATTATTTCAATAACCAGCTGGTCCAGTATAAATATAAAATTACCGGCCCAGATCAAGTTTCACTAGCATTTGTCTAGTTGGCCCGGCATATTTGTCGAACCCTGTGTTACATTCAGATGCAATGCCACGGTAATGAACATGTGCTCCTCAATCATAGCTACATTGAAATCATTAGTGATTTTGTGTCGGTAGAATATGTACTTGTAGTTTTCCTAACCATGTTACCAAGGTTAGATATACCCTGAACTATTAACTTCTCAGGTATCAGTTTGAGATTGTGGACCCATATTTACTTAATCGAGCTGTCTGTAATTAAGATGTGTTTGGTGAAATCTTGATGTGGCAATATACCCTGGGTACTTTCTTGAAATAGAAAGAAACAGGATGTTAATCTCATGAGTAAATATGTACACAGTATCAAAAGCATTAATTTTAGTTCAGCGGAACACGTCAGCAACAAGTTGATCACACTAACAGTTGCCCAAGTAAATCAGTTGATACTTTTATCTCTAAGTACATGAGTCGTATTTTGAATCCGGTTAGGAATTTGTACCCAAATAGCCAATACTTGTCAAAGTTGTCATAACAGGCAACCATGTGGATCGGGTGGTCAGATTCAGTGACTTTGATGATTGTTTGTCATTGTGTCCTGAAGGACTAAGCTCATAATGGTAGTGTCAATTGCTTAGTTTGTTGATCCAGACTTCATTATGTACAGGCTGCTGTTATATAGCCGGATCATTGCTAAGTGAAGCATTAAACAAATATACAATCTATTGTCCTTATCTAGATCAATGAGATGAATTCAATATTGTGGGAAATATCCTCCCCATGTTTGTACATATATCACAGTTTGTTATGAAGTGCATGCATTCAAAAGTGGTCTACCACTTAAATATCAATGGCTAATAGATCACCAATTGTTTCAGTCCCAATCCACTTGAATATAATAGTTAAGGGCTACTGTTACTTGCAAATCTAGCATCGAAAATCATTCTGTATAAATGTGTGTCAAAGATGTTTTGATCATGAAAGATTTAAGTTTGACGAGTATCTTTGGTATGAGTTGATGTAAGACCTTCCCTTGTATGACTGGATTTGTGAGAATGCAAAAGAAAATATTTGCTTTCTTCCTACCTGTACTGATAACACTGAGCAGACATGGAATGTGCTTTATCATGGACCTATTTAAATGTCTTACCTATCCCACGTTCATGTTAGATTGGTTGAAATACCCTTTATTAATCACCTATGCTCTGTTGTAGTCTCCTGCCCACCCTAACTGAATGAGTCAGTTTGTCATTACCGTATATGACCATAGATAAGTCGATCTCATAGATAAGTTGAGGTTTTAACTTGGTCCTTGAAATCTGTATCAAAATGTCATGTGCAGTAGATAAGCTGGACCTCGACCTAAAACTTTGTCTCATCATGATCCCTCATGATAGAATATAAACAAATACATATTTAATTACGCAAGTTAATCCTGTCGTTACACCATCAGAAGAAATAGTGTTCATTGTATATCTGGACTCATGTTTGTAATCTACGTAATCTATTTTATTAATTTTAATCAAACTTTCATTCAATAATATTTACTTTAATTTCGGCAAAATCGTGTGTCCTTCCGGTACTTACAACATCTGATTGCCCCATTCCTTAATGTCGGCTTTACCAACTCACCGTTATTTTCAACAACCACGATCATATTCCCACTACTGACATCTTGAAACGAATCTTAGTTGACAGAGAATGGAGACATACTTTGACTCGTTAAGTCATATGTGTTGTAGTTTGATGATTAAATGTATATCAAAATATATGTTGCCCCTAATAATCATCTGATCAGTCACTCAATGGTTGTAACTGATTAGTTGAAGGGGATGAATCATCATTGAAGATTGGTTGCTAATATATTACGTATCTTCAACATATTTGCATTTCAATGGGCCTGTTTTATCATTTTGAAATTAGAAAATGATAGAACATGAAAAAACTGTCTACTTGAATAGTGTATGATATGTACTTGGTATCATGTAAAATAACAGTGTCTTTTTCATATATACTTGGAGTTTAAAATGTGGTAAAAGTGTACATGATGAATATAAATTTCACCCAAATTGATTAGATTCTATTTTTCCTCAAAACAACAAAATGAAAATCGTCATTTGTTTCCAAAACTAACTTGCATGAAACAAGAAAATGATTCAGTGTAACTTTAGAAAGAGAGTTTGATTTTATGTATTTCTAGATACCACCTGTCCATAATGATAATACAAGCCTTTGACTTGGGAATAATAAAACTGACTATAAATAATGCCAAGATACTTTGAAATGCCAAGAAAAACTAGATTTAATGCATCTTACAACAATGGAATTTGCCACTAAAATTTACACCAATGCCTACAGATAACACAAATCAAACTACTGATAAAAATGATGATGAGGTTGCAAACTGGGTAAAATATGAGTGGAATAAGGAAAATGCAAAATCTTTTCTAATTAGATTTCAGGGTTTATTTCTACCAATGTATGATCAGATATCTTCAACAATTGAAGATAACATCCTGGAAGGACTAGATCTGTTAGTTAATATTTTTCAAAATGTAGCTGAAGACTCAAGAAAATTATATATGGGCAATAAGAAAAAACACATATCAAATAGACAACCACCCTAGTGGGATAATTACCTTCAATGTGCCAAAAATACAAAATATTCATCTCTTAGAGCCCACAGACACTATGCTTTAGATATATGTAATTACAGAACTAACTGCAATAGATTTAAAAGACTATTTGCCCCAAAAAAGAGAATATTTCAGAAAACAAAATAAATAATGATCTAGATAAAGAAATCTCAAATGAAGAAATTTACTTTGGCTTAAAGTCATTGAAAAATGGCAAATTGCCAGGTCCAAATGGACTCTATTAAAGTAACAAAGCATTATACAACACCTATTTTTTCCAAATTGTTTAATGAGATACTGAATAAGGGTGAATTCCCATATGACTGGGGTAAAAGTATTATGTGTCCAATCCACAAATCAGGTGTGACCAATAACCCCAACAATTACAGAGGAATATCTTTAATCAACTCAATATGCAAACTGTTTACGTCAATTGTAAACAATAGAATTAAAACATGGCGTGAGTCTAGCAATATTGTATGAATCGCAAGCTGGCTTTAGACAAAATTATTCAACAATTGATAATATTTTTGTATTACAGACTATGGCTCAGAAATATTTATTAAAAAAAACCATGGAAGATTTTACTGCCTCTTCATTGATTTCTCAAAGGCCTTTGACAGCATATTTTTTCACATGTATGTAGAGGAGCAGTGTTTGTCAGCAGCAAATACTCAATTCAATGGAAATGTTTCCATGCTTGCTATTACTCTAGCCCTAGGTGTCACAGTGATTTGTAAAGATTAATTGGGATCTGTTGAATGAATGTTGTCTTTTGGTTCAGCTTTGTAGCCCTGTTTTGTGATGCCTAGACACTGAACAGCACAACTTCGCATTGCAGTATCACAGTGCCTACTTGACCCACACCCTTTCAATAGGTAAAGGGGAAAATTCATTCGTATTCAGTTCTTAGCCAAGTGTTTCAGCACAAGACTTTGATAAGCTTTATGTAACTTCAACAAGGATTAGTTTTGAAACAATGGCAGAGTTATTGTTAAGGCTGTTGTGCCCTTAACACATTAAGAAAAGTGTGAACAGTGATTTCAGTGCCTATTCATAATTTTTTTTCACAGAGGGTTCTGTGTATTTTCTAATGAATCTCCTTGAGGAGACTTTAAACCTTTATTGGAGATTGTTTGCTTGTCTCACCTTTCCCTGTTAATAGCACAGGGAATGTAGAGCATATGGGACATTTTGGCCACATGAATGGCATGTTTGAGAACATTTTTTGCACTCCTATGACAGTAGTGTTGACAAGAATGTAAATAATTCAAGGGAGTGCAGGGAAAATGACTCACTTTTCACAGCACTTGTCTGAATAATGATAACAAATGGGCAACTGATAAAAATATGAAATTTGTGCATATTCAAAGAAAACTTTCAACACTGGACCAATTGCTTGGTTGAGTGAGCACCTTGTGTTTTACCTTAGAGTATTTTATATCAACATGATCAATAAAGTATCCAGTATTTACAACACTCACAATTTATATTTATTTTTGAAGAATAAGAAAATCTTTCACAGATCATCTATATGTTTGGTTATAGAATTATTATAGATATTGATATGCTGTTACAATTTAATACATATTTATTACATTTAGCACTGTTTCACTTATATAACAGTTTATTCGTAACTGGTGCTTAAACATGACAGTTGAAATGTATCATCTACACCTATTTACAATGAATTGATGAAATGAAGGGTGACAGATGACATCTCGTTCCTTTTGATTTTGATATATGTATGATAAATGTCTCCATAATTCAATTTATGAGCACCCCTGGGCCATGACACATCTATTGAGGTAACACAAATGAATTTATGGATCTTATGTCAAATTCAAATGCTTGTACAAGGTATAAAATTCCTAGCTTGTTTAATATATTAATGTTACAAAAAAAATATAATTTATGTATTAGGCTACCATAAATTATTATATGTATTCAATTTCCATCCAAATTTCTAAAAAATCTGAAGTGGAAGGCATTTTAATGAATATGTTTTATATTTTGTAAACCAACTGTTCAAGACTTCTGCGTACATTGATTGTCATGTCACGAAGCATGAATGTTTGGGAGGACTATGTATATGGTGTATTTCATCAAGTAAAGAAAGGAAGGAAAACACAGTGATTTATAGTGAGGTATTTCTGGGATAATATAATGGTGTGAGGCAGCATGTTTGGTATCGAACCACATCTTCGGGCCACAGTGACAAGAGATCAGCCAAGTCACATGGTTGCCACCCAGTCCTCATAATAGGATTTTACAACATTTAATGCCCTTAGGCTAATAGCTTGTGTAAACTTGTTATAATAGTCCCGCTAAAAGTACAATAGGAATATTGTTTTGAAATCTTTGTCAACAGTATGATCTTCATTTAGATTTGACTTGTTATAGATTAGTTCAGTGTACTGAGACTATTCCATGAGTCCCTGTGTCATACTGATTTAAATATTTTTAGACAGGCTTTTGTATTTCTTGAGTGTGAAGAAAATACAGGATTTCTGACACAACTTTAGTGAAATCAGTATAACACACATTTGCAATTTTAAGATCTATGTCATCAACAATTCATGACAGCGTGACTGTGTTTACAGTATTAGTCACCATCCCACTGGCAAGGATTGTGGCACGACTGAGGCTGTCCAATTGGTGTTTGTCATTTGGGGTCATGCATTACAATTATATCTAAAATATGTACTCCTACATATAGACTTTGTACAACAGTGCCACTGAGCTGCATACATGTACAACTAGACTAACTGCATGAACACCTATGCCATCTGTTCGGCGCTTTGAGTAGAAAGTAAAAAGTGATGTTTGTGTTTTGCCTTAACCATTGTTCTTACAACTACCATTATAGCCAATAAAGTACTGTCACTCGTCTTCTACTACTAGGAGGTAGTGTCATTACACATTACTTCAACATTGTTGTGTGTTTTGTAGAGTGGTGTCTTCATGATTAAGTCAACAATGCTGTAGGCACGTGAAGTCATTATTACATGTGTGATTCATATTGATTTTAGCACACTTCAACTGAAAGTTCAAGCTTCTCTGTAATGTCTGTTGGCTATGAGAACTAAAGGAAGCCTGATATTAGTCTCTTAAAAACAATGTTTAGTTTTCTTGTGCATTTATCTGATATTTAAGTAAATCTAATGCATGGGTACAACCTATCTAGGACATAAATGTATTAGGTAGGGGTGCGCAATATTACCATTATGACCTTTTTGTTGCAATATGGCTGTCAGTTTTACATCAGTCATGTATCACACTATGACTCTTGTGTATTGATATTTTCCAACACAGTCACAGAAGAATTGAAACATTAGTATATTGATTATATCTACTACCTTGAGGCTTTTAGGTGAACTGGGGTTTGCGCTGTTTACACTAACATTCCATATTGATCAGTTTGGGGCTTTTTGAACAGTACAAATATGGTACAAAAAAAGATACTTTGGTCATCAATATGTATCGCTATATGTATTGCAATACAGCTCTCCTTATTGTGATATATCAATACAGACTTTCTTCCAATACCCACCCCTAGTATTTAAAGGAATGGAATTTGAGTCATGTGACATGAGGTGTTGTTGAGAGTTTTGTCTCTGGAATCTCCAACGTGTTTCTAAGTTGATTAGAAAGGATACATATTTTTTAACTTTTCAGTTGGTGCAGGCTTAGCACCTACAATTTACCAGACCAACAACCAGTACTGAAACAGAACTTTCTAAATCTCAGATATGTGAAGTTTGTACTTGTATTAACATTTGAACAATTGTACTTATTATCTGCTCTGTTATGTGTGTTCATGACAATATGAATGACAACGTTAACAATGACAATTTGTATTCTTTGTTTGTTAAGTAATTGAGCACAGGCTCATTCTGAAGCACTAATTTTGTATGCATGATAGTTTTGAAATGAGTCAGCAAGAAAAAGAATCTCTTTTTATATTCTCTTCTGAATGTTAGGCATGTTTTCATGCTTTAAAAACAATAACTTTTTTTTTCAGGCATATACGTTCTTTGTGACACATTTCATGGAACTGACAAATATGGATAGTCTCTATCCAAATGTGGAGAAGTAAGTGGGACAAATACTAAACTGCTTGAACAACAATCAATCTCATACAGTGTTTGGCTTACCTGAACTTTCAGTATCAAGTGACTTATGGAATGGTGTGTTGTCCACAGTCCATCTTTTCATCTTTTACATTTTCAACATCTCCTTTGAAAACACAAGGCTTGGGAACTTTGTAAGCATGTTTCCAGCCATGGTGTCTCTAATAATTGCTCACAGAATTCTGATCCAATTTTTCATATTAAAATGTCATTATTGCCCATTACTCAGATATTTCTGCATGAACCATTTTGAAATTTGATCGACAAGTATGTGGTATACAGAATTCTAGTGGATGCCACTACTGGGAATTGCCTTTTTGTCTATCACAACATGTCTATTAAACCTGAAGCATTAAGCATTGAGCATTTTTGTTTTGATGGTGTGACTTGTGCCTATTTCTGAAACTGCTTATAAAATAAATAAATATTGACCGATTGAATACTGACCATGATGTATACAATCAATCATTTCAGTGTTACTGAGTATCTGATTGATTACTGATTATAATAAGTAATAATTAGTGGTAAATGTGCTATCATTTGCGAGTGTGTGAATGTTGTTTTATGTCTCAATCAGCAATATTCCAGCTATATCACAGCAGCCAGCAAACAATAAAGTTTGGGCCAGAAAAGCAAGTAATTGATATTATGAGCAATGTCCAATAATGGCATGCAACAATGAACAAGCGATAAAATCTAATCACACAATCCATTTACAAGCATTAGGTAGTGAGGACCAATTCTATCTCAGAATCTCCACAGGATGCTTCCATACTTAAATATTTTAATACAAATAGACAATATTACTTATACATACTGCTATATCTACTGCCACCTTGTGAAGCTAGCTATCATTTTCCAACTTTAACATGAGAGTGTTAGAAATTGGCACTAGTCCTGTTGTCCTTGCCACACTGCCCAATAATTATGGTATCATAAGGACTGGGAGAAATTTTTAAGGGTTTTGCTATATGTTATCATTATAAGGACTAGTGGACTAAAAAGGTCAGTTTCTATTGCTGCATAAATCCTCAGCTTCAATAAAAGGAACTTTGCATATTTTGCCGAAGTGCGTCTTTACTAGGAGAAAAGAGATTCATACAGTTAGCGACAACTACTTTGCCAAATTCTCTTGAAATTCTCAAATATTGACCCAAAGGAAAAAGTTAGCTGTGGTCTCATGGATGATGCCTGATATTTACTGACTGGTCAGTGTTTCGGACATTTCAAGTTCTGTCACAAAATGGTCCCATATTTGTCAAGAGTTTGGAATATTGACTGTCATGATGGCAGCACCACAATGGCCACTGTCTGTCAATATGGCACAACACTGATGAAAACAAAATTTCAAGAGCCATGTTAACACAACAATGTTTTGCAAACTTTTCGATTTGTTTTAATAAAATTTCAGTTTGGGTGAAGAGTGAGTGAGTAATGGGTTGCACCGCTTATAGCAATATTCCAGCAACAACACGCAGGGGACACCAGAAATGGACTTCGCACTTTGTACCCATGTGGGTAATCGAACCCGAGTCTTTGGCGTGACAAGCAAAATCTTTAACTACTAGGCTACCCCACAGTTCAAGTGAATGTTTGGAGAAGTATCCCCCTTAAATAATGTTCATGCAGTTGAAATAAAGATCTCGGTTGAACAGTTTCTGGTTACATGCTAAGACAATGTGCTTTAAAATAGTATTTCTAAATCTCATCAAATATGTCATGAAAAGGGTGTTAAATCATCAACTGCAAGAACATCCCAGTTTGGTTTACAAAATCAAGACTATAGATTTTCACTCTCCGTTCCCAGTGGATTATGTGATATGTTAGAATTTGGAAACAGAGATTTGTGCTCATCCTGTTTACAAATGGCAAAGCAAGACTTGAAATAACTTAGTTTGAACACTTCTGGAACAATGTGACAGTGACTGTTTGATAATATCAATAAAAAATGTTACGATGTGCATGCAAGTCAGAAGTGAACACTGGGCAAAACTTTTAACTAGCTATTGTTAATATTTAAGAAATTGATACATGATCTTAGATTGTTTAAGATTAATAGCCAGTCCTTGGTCTAAACTGCTATTATTTGACATTCAGGGAAACTTCGGTAGTCTGGACCATGTTTGCCTTGAGCAACCAAACTGTGGAATATGTGCACACTTTAAACAGAAATAGCCACACTAATTACAAACAAGAGACAATCCCAATTAAGTATCCATGTAATGATGAAAACCTGCCACATTGTCAGTGGAACCAATAATGTACGCATTTAGTTTATTGCTGTCTCCATTGAAAAAATGGTGGGTTTTAATCATTTTGATGCACACTTCATTGAGATTGAGTCTCTTTTCTTATTTGTGTGGCTGTTTCTATTTAAAGTGTGTACATATTCAATGGTTTTATTAGTTGCTCTCTAGTTACAGTCTAAATGGAAGTGGAATTAATATCTCTACGTGTGGTCTGAAAGACTGCAAATACATGTCATAGTTTATCATCTCGAAGCTGGGTTGTAACTATGTTTCAGCTATTTCTTCGAGGTTCAGCGAGTGTTTAGCACCGAGGGTAACTGTGAGAAGATCAACTACACGCATGTGCTGTCAAAAGGGAAAACACAGGAGAAACATTATGGTATGTCTTTTTGGTCAAATTGTCTTTTACTTAACAAAACTGTTCACAGGCATTAAAAACTACACAAACGCATTCAGAAAGTTACCTTGTGGACAGAATATATGACAAAACTGTAGGAATGCAGCAACTGAAATGACTATATTTAGTTACTAGAACTTAACTATCAAAGTTTAGCTATACCTCTTGATGTGATAAGTACCCCATCTCTTTCCAAAAGCATATGCTTTCAACTTATTATTATTTTTCATATTTACCAAACTGTCTTAGTTTGGGTGTCCAGTATGTGAATTTACTTGGAAGCTGAAACTATTGATTTGTATATAAATCCTTAAATGAAAGAAATCCCAATTACTCACAACATTGTTTGTGATGTTGGTATGCTGAAAAGTAACACAGTGTTAGTATAACTTAATTGATTTAAATGAGAATGGGTCTGTTTATATAAAATGAGTTTTCAACAGATGAAACATATAAAGTTACATATCTTAACTAACAGTTTTTTCTCTATGTATGTAAATTTATCTTCTCATACATGTATTAAAATTTTGGTGTTTTCATCATGTAAATTTTATTTGTTTCCCTTTACTTCTGAAAGACAAGGTCTATATTACAGTACATGCTAAAATAATGTTTACAAACTAATTATAAAATAGTTGAATTGATTTGATCTATGATGAGAAATTCTGTTAAATGCAATGGAGCTTCTGTGACTGAAAAACTGATCAACAAATATACATTATCAGCCAGAAACTAGAAGACAGTTTATAGCACTAATATGCACATTTTTCATTGTCTGTGGTTAAAACAGCAGCATTTCTGAAGCAGTGATAGTCAGTGGCCGTGATAATCGGCTGTCCAAGGTTATCCATCTGCATATAGAGTTCTGTAAAAGCATATGATTCCCAGGTATTAAAGTTGTGTTAGATATTAAAAGTCTGCAGCTGAGGTATGGATTGGTAGGACAATAAGCCGATGTGCTAAAGTACAGACAAAGCTTCCATTATTTAAATGTTGACATGACTGTAAGAAATATTCCAGCTGAAGCTCTTCTCATATCTTGATTATGTTTGACATGCTGCAAATCTCAACCCAACTTGTGAATTGTCTGAGGAGTATCCTCCAACCTCTGCATTTCTGAGGTATGTGACAAGGCTTCTATTCTTGTCTCTGAGATTTCAACACAGCCAACTATTTCTCTTTGCACTGCTTGGAATAACTATTGTTCCTGATGCTACTTTTTGTAACAAATTTATTTCCTTGTGTAGATGTACAGTCACATCTTAATTGGAAAGTAGTATTTCTTCCAAAGTCTAGACATTTTCAATAAATGTTTTCTGTTCATTGAATACTTGGAGGAGAATATTGGTTCATGGTTTACATTTGTGTAGCCTTCTTTGTACACAAATATCTTTGATCATACTAGCAGACACACAAAGAGATATCAATGTTTGAAAACCAGCAGAAATATTTAACAAGTCTGTAATTATTTCCTCTTTTTGCTAGTGGCAGAATGGATGTGGCTAATGTTACTTCATTATACATGATTGTTTAGTGACTTTTGACATCTTCAGAATACTTCAAGCTTTAAATACTTGTTTCTCACTACAGTACATCCTACAATGTTTTACCTTTCACGAGGACATTGCTACAGCATTCACATTCATTTCATGTGATATGTTTCATGTATATTTACTGTGTCTGCTTTGAAGTTTGACTCACTTATGAGCCAGCCATACCAGTTTGCATGGAAGGAGTTTAGGTAAACTGTTACATGATCTTTCCTTATAGGGCTTCAGCTTGCAGAGGTGTCCACAATGCCAAGAGCAGTTACAGAGGAGGCAAAAACACTGGCCAAACATCTCGAGGAACAGCGAAAGGTAATATAGTGCAGGAATTTACATCATATATTCTGTACATGCTGATGCCTTTTGTGAATAGTAGGGGTTAATGTGGGGCAGGAATTCACATCATACTGTCTGGACAGGCTCATGCTTTTGTGAACTGAAGGGGTGAATTTAGTGCAGGAATTTACGTGATACTGTCTGTACATGCTCATGCCTTTGTGAACTGTAGGGGTGAGTTTGGTGCAGAAACAGAAATATTACTGTCTGTACATGCTCAGCCCTGCTTTGGACAGTAGGGAGTAATATGGTGCATGAATGTACATACTGTCTGTACATGCTCACCCTTTCTTTGAAGTTCAGAGGGTAATATGGTGCAGGGATTTACTTCATGCTGTTGGTCCTTTCTGAGGATGGTAGAGGGTATGGGACATATTAGGTGTCCATGGCACCAAAAACTAACAAATTAGGTAAAAAACTGACCAGACTGTTTTGGAACAGCAATATCCAATATGGAATTTACATCATACTGCTTGTACACACTTTTCTGTGAACAACAGAGGGTAAAAAGAATTAACAGTACACTGCAGGGACAAACCTCAGAGCTAAATTCCACAATTCATTGTACTAGTTTTCTATTGTAACATTACTACCATTTAGGAGAAAACTACTTGTCCACACACCTATTTGCTAGTCTGGGACCAGTTTACCATGATTGCAGTGTATGTGCCGGTATCGTTTCTCTTCCCCTATGGGGACACCTATTATGAACAGTAGCCTAAGAATCTATATTATTTTGCCACCTTTGTATGGTGGGAGCTGTTTACATCTAGGGAGCAAATACGGACATGATGGATGACACTTTAACATTGTTGCAGTTCCTGCTACACATTTTATTAGTAAATCTAACAGACATGGACTGATTCTTAGTTTAATTTTGTCAATTGTTTTGATCCACAAATACAAAGATGAAGAACATCATGAGATGAAATGGTCTAAACTCTTTAGCATCACGTTCAAGATTATTGCACATATATAACGATGTGTGTGTGGGTGTGGCTTCTTGTAATCCCGGCTAACATAGATACCCCACTCAGACAGAGTATACTGATTCCAAGCTGACCAGACCTTGTTTTATACCCTTAATGCCAAGCACCAGGCAGAGTAACAGCAAGTACCATATTTTAATGTCTTTTGGTATGATATGGCAGAAGAACGGAACCCCAAACTTCCGCTCTCCATGCAGATGCTCTATCAACTTGACCACAGAGGCAGTCTTATTCATTATTTTAGCTGTGTAGCTTGGTGGACAAATCCTTCTTAAGTCCATTTTTAATGCAGTTGATGTATAGTAGGTAAATGCAAGGTCACTGGTATTTCTGTGTGAAACCTTTTGCTTTGGTACTTTCTACCTTAGATAATTAGCTAGTTTCCTTCCATTTATCATAGTAATTTATCAGTTTTATGTCCATTTCAGAAAAACAGGACAAGAGATTCAGAATCAAGAAAACAACGAATGAATTTCAAACTAGCAACTAAGTTGGTTCAGGTAGCGAAGAATTCTCGACTTGATGATGAAAGTTTAAGGCTGTATCTTAGCAACCTGAGATCCCAGTACACCAGGGAGTTTACCGACATGGAAGAATAAGCCACTGACAGTCTGATGACAAACAATAAGTGTATTGCAACTGTCCTCATGATACTCTTTACTCAACTGTGAAATAGTTTCCTTGTGTGCACAATGCTGTTCTCTCATATTCTTTATGGAGCGGTGGGTTAGCCTAGTAATTAACACATTTGCTCGTCACATTGAAGACCCAGGTATATTCTCCACATGGGTACATTGTGTGAAGCTCTTGTATGGTGATATTGCTTTAATAACGCTATAAGCAGCGTAAAATCACATTCGCTCTCTCACTTATATTCTTCATAGTGATCCATAAATGATCTTATACCAGTTTAGAACACCTTTTTAAGTGTTCTTAATTTCAAGGGTTTGATATGACAGATGTCATTATCTTCTGTAAGATACCCTATTTTTTATTGTTAATTAACTGCCTGTATGGAACTAACAAGGCAGTGTTTTGGAGAGACATTTACCTGTTGTTGTGAATGATGACAGTAACACATCATTACTTTATAAAGCTTTGATGACTTCAAAATATTTTTTAAGTGCACATGCTTTATCTGAGTGCATATTTGAAAAGTAATGTAGATTATGTCCATCTTATGTTAATTACTGTATATACTGCTGTATATATGCCAAACTGCTGATGATATGTGAAGCATCCACTCATTCTCTCAGTAACACACTCTTACTTGTATGAATAAATGTAGATGTGGCTTCCTTTGTTTCACCTACATATATTCATGAACTAAAATGAAACTCATGAAAATTAATTTCTTTTAGTCAGACACTATGATCAGGCTTTCAAGAAAATGTAAAAAAAATAAGCTTCAAGTAAAGCAAATTTAAGAATATGTTTTAAAAAAAATGAGGAAAAATATTTTGAGCAAAGCTGAGCCTTTGGCTGTTGTCTTTGGATGGAAAACATAGCGAATACACACATCACAAGTTTTCCAAGTTCGTCTGGCAAATCTACACTGATCTGTATGAAGAGAACAGGCTTGTCTCCTTCCTTGTTTAAAGCCCAGCTTGGCTGTCTCCCATTCAGGCAAATACACCCAAGCTTGTGGATTACCTGCTGGGGATTAGCCATGACCAGCAAAACAACTTGGACATTTGGAGATGCGTCACAGATCACTGTTAAACTGTCATCAACCTTGATGTAACAAAATGTGTGAAAAAACATATTCTGGCAAGATGTCCTATATCCCATCCTTTGGAAATCATTAGAATGTATCCAACATGCCGATGGGTTCAAGGTTTACTGTTACTTATTTACTTATTACTTATTGGATATGTGTGAAAATTAATAAATAGTCAATTTGTTTGTCCAAAAGAAGAAACCATTCTTTTCATGTGTTCATACAATGTAAGTTTTGTTATCTGTTATTATTTCTATTTCATCATGGCCAGCTTTTGCAGAATTTCTGCATGAATGATGGTATCAGTAGTTTTATTTAATGACTGTTCATGTTCAAAGTCTTGAAAACATTGAAATTATGGCTGAAACGAGTACTGTACTCGTTAATGATTACTGGTTGAAAGCAATCCCCAAGCCACAGCTCACACCTGAGACTTCTAGAAAATGCTCATGCCGTCCTGAAAAATTGCATCCAATGGACTTTATCACAATTTACCCTCATATATTGGTCAGATAGCGAATCACCCTGTCTGTTTAACTGCCAAATATGTAGAAAATAATTTATTTTTTCTACCGACAGTACTTTTTTACAATCTCCCCATTTTCGGGTGAAAATTAAAATGTGTTTGTCAATAATAGGGATGTTTGAGGCTGTAAGTCTCGAACCTAAAAAATAACAGACAAATTTGTTTCTATTTAAAAAAACCCTATTCCCAGAAAATGCAATTTGTGGAATTTCAAGCATTACAATGTACCTTTAACTATTTTTTGTTTGTTTGTCCTCCATACTTTTCAGTGATCAGTGATCAAATATATTTTTGTGTTATATTGGTGCGCCACAATTAATACCCGATCAGATTCCACAATGCATCGATAGAAACTAACATGTTTACTCCACTGGACCTTTTATCATAGTATATTGCAAAACCCTTAAAAATGGCAAATTTCTACCAGTCCTTAAGACAGTTTGGCAAGGACTGCACGACTAGTGCCAATTTCTATCGCTGCAATGGCTTCTAAAAAGGGAGATAATTACACTGAACAAGATAGATAACTGTCCAATTACTTGAATATTAATTTACTACTTGAGTAGTAAAAATACTCGACATGCACTCGAATGCTCGACATGTACTCGAATACCCAGGTAACAGTTTCAGCCCTAATTGAAAGATCAATTATCACTTAATTTAAAATGTGTTGCAGTCCTGTTTTGATCCTATTCTAAGTTCTTGCATATTCTTGAAAGGATCAAACATGGGTCTGATACACGAAGGATATAAAAACATAAAAACTGTCAAGAAATCATTCAGGTTTGATAAAACAAAACAGGATTAAAAACTGTTCACAGGTTGTGTGCCCCCAAAACCGTTCCTTTGGTCATTTCAGAGAAAAGAGAGTGTATTAAAGCCATGACCGAATCAATGACCCATGTCAATATCCATGATGTCAGGCGGTCATGCGAATATGAGATAATACTTCGTCTGCTTGTATGCTCCCGACGATCGTTTGGTCATATGAACACATAGCATTTATACATTCGGGATCATATACACCGAAACATCCCACACCCGTGTACCACTGATGTTGTTCCATCTCAGTAGCCATCCCATAAACTTCTCACAATGTATGCTCTTGTCACTTCTGTATATCTGACTGTCTGTCTATTTGTCATGAGACAGCCCCAAGGCGAGACCAGCCCCGAAATTATATGAAAGCCTTGGAAGGCGTCTATTTCTCCTACATCACTGATGAGCAAGTTATGTCTTCACGCTGATAGTCAAAAATGAACTTTTAAAACTGTTACCATTCTTTTACTAGTGTCATTATGGTTGTTTAAACGGGGGATAATTTTACTAATGCTACCTGATGTATGTTTATACAGAATGTATTTTCACAAGCAATTTATGGTCATATAAACGAGTTTTATGTTGATAGCGATAACTTTCTAAAACTCTAAAGGCTTTGGTCTTTGTATTGATGCATACTAACTGACATGATCAGCCAATTACAATATACATTGAACTTTTATTAAGCACACTTATACGAACCCATACTCACAGTTAAATAAATATTAACTTGTAAACAGCCGTAAGGCGTAACATGCATGTGAACTCTATCTGTGTGTGCTTAGATTACCTGCATCCTCAAGGCTATTTCATGTAAGTAACTTCAAATATGTACATGTATTTTAACAAAGCGTCGCTTTGAATGTATTTTCCAGTGTCTATTCAAGATTAAATAGTTGCTGTCGTAAGTTTCTTGCTTATCGGCGAAGTCGCATTCGCTTACCGCGCCTAATGCTGTAGGAATTCCCAAACAGAAAGCGGATCTCAACAGCATTGTAGCGACACAATTATTTAGATACAAGGATCTCTGTCATACCACAGCCAGTCAGAGCGAGAGGCACAACAGCACCACCTGTGCTGGATTTATACCTCTGCGATTGTCGCAGTTAACAAGTAAGTACATCGTGCCCATGTGTGTAATTGCTATTTGATTTGCTTTTGAACTCAATTAACAACATACTGGTCTTATTAAATGAGTTCATAGTTAGTTTGAGTCAGTAAGTTTATGATGTTCATATCAAGTTGGTTTATTTGACATATCTGGGTTGGCAGTGTCATCTTAAAACATGGATCTCACTTTTAGCACTTCAGTACACCTGTTCATGAGCTTTATATTCCATTCATGTGTGGCTGGTTTATAAAGAATTGTGTAATCTTTTGCTGGTTGGTATAAAATATTCACTTCGTGGATTGTGTGTAACAGCTCTTTGAGTGAATATTGTATATTGTGTAAGGACCGTGACTGTTTTTTGTGGATTATTCATTCCGGTTATCGCAATGGGTAAGTACGCACATCAATAAAATTATGTCGTTTTGTGATTTGGGTTTAAAAAAGAACGGTGTCACATCGTTGTGGACGTCAATTGGTTATTTATTGAGGTTGATACGTGGATCATGGGCTACGTCATTTTCATGTGAAGGCTCATTATCCGTATCCTTGGTTGCATCAGATGAGTTGTCCAAATTTATTATATTTTAAGTTTGGTACTAGGGGGTCGCTGGTTCTAATTTCATATGCTAGTTACGGTCTGATATGTATTATGTAGGTTTTGTCCTTAACCGTCGCTTTATAAACAAGTACATGCTGATAAATTAATGAAAATATACGAAACTATATTAAGAATAGGCTTCACATATTGTATCCATGGAGAATTAGGAACCTGTGTTCTCGTCGTGAAAGTAAAATGAACAAACCCTGAAAAATAAACTCATGAAAACTATTCCAAAGGAACTTTTGTTGTTCACCTAATTCCCGTCGGATACAATGACTACTCTGTATGCACACATTTTGCCAATTTTGGGTCGTTTCCGCCAGTGAAATATGAGGCCGTTTTGGCAAGGGGTCGTTTCAGCCAACACCTTTCACACCTGGAAGTCTCATTCTCATTTACGCATTTGGCATAACAACAGCAGCGAGGGGCCTGCATTGTGTGTTCGCCAGGTTGAGACATATTGCTGAAGCTCGCCAAGAGTTGGTTCAGTCCGATCCTAAGCATAGCAATAATTGGTTTAAACAATGGGACAGAATATTGTTCTGCATGATGCCAAAGAGACATACGAGACATTATATTACCTTTTTAAAAAACTATTTTCATAAATCTTAATATATCCACATAAAAGCAATAACAGCTATTGTTACCTCCAACGCGTAGACATACTAACATATAAAATCTAATACAGAATACCATGTGATTGTGCATTAGCTGGTTCTTTTATATCTGGCTTTGAGAGAAAATGTTCTTGCAAAATCGATAATTGTAATGCAAAGATGGGTACATGAGTGGTCTGGTTGCTAAAGACGTAGCAGTTCTCTGTGACGAGGTGCTTGAGCTGGCATATCTCAGGTTCGGATACTAGATTCACCTCGACAGTAAACTTTGTTTGGCAGGTGGAGGATTCCACCAAGGTATTAGACGTTACTGCGCCATATTGTGCTCTTCTCGCAAGTTAAGACAAACCGAAATACTGACTGCCAAGCTGACCTAAAAATTCCAAGTCATTAAATTAAATATAGGATGATATTCTCAAGATGAAAGAAGTCTCTATGTTAGATACGGTTGTTTCCTTCGGTTGGTAGGGATGAAATGATTTCCAACTTGCACTATTATGTTTTTGGTGTAAAATGTATGTGATATAATTCTTACGCATGTAATGTGTTGCATTATAGTTGAACGTTGTTTGTTTGTTGTTTAACGCTGCACTCAGCAATATTCCAACTATATGACGGAGTTCCAAATAATTGAGTCTGGACCAGACAATCCAGTGATTGACATCACGAGCATCGATCCACGCAATTGGGATACGATGACATGCATCAACCAAGTCAAGCGAGCCTGACCATCCGATCCCGTTAGTCGTCTCTTTCGACAAGCATAGTCGCCTTTTACGGCAAGCATGGGTTGCTGAAGCCCTTATTCTACCCCGGATCTTCACGGGTCGGCTGAACGTTGAGGGAAATTGAGTGGATAAGTGTCAAGTTTTATGTTGCCAGTATTTCAGGTATACCATCACTGCAGCGTATAGGCTTAATTGTAGATGGAAGTCGTAGACTTTGCTCTCCACTTCTTTGAAACCTACGTACATAGGTATTTTCCTGACAATATGTTCTGCTTTTACGACAGTGTTATTGTGAAAATATCATCAGGAGAATGCATACAACAACCAGAGAAAACGTAAGTTATATATTTATGACGAGAAAGTTTGTTCAGATTTGACATCGCGTCGGCAATATCTCAGCTATTTTGCGACCTGAACAAAATAGTCATACATTATTAAAACGTCAGTACAGTGCATGAGGCAGTAACAGTAACTAGATACATACACGTACAATGATTTATGAACTTCAACAAACTCCGGTAATTCATACACGTACTGTACTTTGTTGCGAAATTGAAGCTACAAGTTATAGCCGACTTTCACTTGAGTAAATGCTATATCGTTTTCTAAAACAAAAAACAATCCCCACACCAATACTTCTGTGTGGTTATGGGAAATATCGGCTTAAACCTTTCAAAAATATTTATCTACTTGTAATGTGATATTTGTTATTTTCTATACTTATCATATACATACAGATTGATAAGAAAAAAACATGCAACATTGTGTCAATAAACACCCAAAAACAAAACACCTTATAGACATTGAAATTTTCACAGAGATATCTAATTTTGACTGAATCATTGCCAAATGGTTACCATGCCCTCAAGAGCAAGAGCTCTCTGAAGCCATGCTATCCTTAACCGCATTAAACAGCATTTTCGTCATTTTTTCATTAAACTCTAAGATTTATCCGATCAAACGGTTGTCTACTTGTTGATTTCCATGTTTAAACGTCAGCTTGTGTCTGCAACCTGCCCTTCAGTGCTCAACAGATGGTTTAGGCAGAGAAAGCTTTAAGATTTACTCAAGAAACAGCCTAAGAGTCGCAAGTCATAAATGGGCACAGGCGGAGCCGAGATTATCATCGACCACGGAGGTTATTGCTAAGTCTGAAATGGATAAATTGCTTGTGTTCGTTTTTCAGGATTAAAGTCGGTCAAAAAGTTTCTAGAATACACAGATTCTCATTAAGACGCTTGCTTGCGCACCCTGAAAATGTCATGATTTGAGAGAGATATGAAATTTGATTTATTAAAACTGATATTCTACTTTTAACATTCTTTTAGACTACTTTGTATTATTTTATCTTTTAAAAACATCGGCGAAGTGCACAGGTTTGTTATACATATACTTATAAGCACGTGAAGAACAGTTTTCATACATTAAGTTTATAATTTGTAAACTGCATTCACAGAAAGTGAATACCATCAGACTCTCACAGCAGAAACTCGCCGTTTTTTAAAACTCAATATGGAACAAACGTTAAATCTGGTAATCTGAGGAAATAGAAAGCAACTTTTGGCATACGCGTGCGTACAACTTGCCGACAGGGTATAGGATCAGTGGTCTTAGGAACATCAAATAAAGGTACCGCGGGTTATCCTGTTAGGCCATTGTGAAGGACCTCGTCGCCCATTTGTAGAAACAGGTACAGCTTAATTCTCCCGGCTACTTGTAGAGCGTTGCTTGTGTGATAAATGTTTGCATTTGCCATCGACTTTTCGTAACAACATGTCTGAAATGTTGAAACTAATAGTGTCTTATCACACGCGTAATAGAGCACACGCTTTTGATAAGAGTGCTAGCATTGGAAGGTAGGTGTCCATTTTAAAACTATCACTATTATATTATGTCATTGCCTGAATGGACCTACAAAATAGTTCCTTAATAAGGATTGTCTGTAGATTTGTCCGTGTAGCTACATAGGTACACTTTGTTGAATGGACAGTGACTTAAACAAGTCTTATTTTGAGGGCCCCCATATCACTACTTTCCTGTGAGAGATTGACATTGTTGGCCTCAGTTGAGGAAATTCAATCGTCATTTGTCTAGTTTATATTCTGTACATTTTCATAGTCACTCAGAACTGACTTTATAGTTAAAGGTAAACCAGTCAGTGTATATAGTTAATCTCACGATTGTAAAATACCTGTATGCAACTGTGTCTGCGTCAGGGAACATATTTTAGTTAAAAGTTTACACTTTGTCGGTGTGTATACTCGTGAAGATCCGGATAAAAAACTATGCTTGTGAGAGGCGACTAACGGCGACTCGGTGAATTGGTTGATGCATGTCATCGTATCCCAATTCGTAGATGGATACTCATGATGTTAATCACTGGATTGTCTGGTTAGGTCTCGATTATTCAGAATGCCGTCATGTACATATAGCTGTTAATCCTCCAACTTCTAGATATATTCTTTACCATGTTCACCACTGAGTCTTACTTGACAACGGTATAAGGATCTATACCGAAACCCCGTCTTGACAGTAAGTAATGAAGTTGTTATCAAAAATTGTGTCTACTTTTGTCATCCTTCAACTTCTAAGGAATGCCCATCAAACAAGTGTACGTTATGTATCTTCCCACGTGACCTTGGTAGCCTAGTTACATTAAATGTCGGGGACCTGCAGTTACGCCAACCCATGTCCAGCTTGTCATACTGTCAGCCCATAGACACGTGTGTCCTCACTGCATTGATCTCTGGCCAGTAATCCTAAAGCCAAGTTTACAGAGTCACAAAGGGACACTGTGTTTGTTGACAGGACTGACTGTCGACAGTATTTACTTCACCTTCGCGAAATCACTACTGATGTTTCAGTGTAACTGTGGTTAGATCCTTTTAAGTTCCACATATTGTATGGAATATGCTCAGGTTAATGTATTGCGAAACCGAAGTGTTGACTTAGAAGGGTAGCTTGTAGAAACTAGAAAAATTCCAGCATTTTCTAGGCAATTATCAGAAATCCATACGTATTTCCTAGTGGCGTTGTGTTGTTTAATGTCACGTGAT